AAACGTTGAATCAAAAAGCTTGATACTCGTACTATCATTTCCACTCCTGCATAAAGTACCGACCATCCTAAATATAATTTAATAAGTGATACGAGAAACATGCAAGTGCTTGATATGTGCGATTAATTTACTAAAATTGTGATTTATATTGCTGACTGTACCTTACGCTACAAACTGAGATTTCGAGCCCGAAGACGTCGACAGTCTTATTTCAAACGAAAATACAAACTCCCTTGTTTGACTAGGGAGTCTTAGAAAGAAAAACTATTAAAAATATATTTAAAAGAAGATATAAAATTAACTATAGGCTCTGATAAAAGATATAAAATAAGATTACGTCATTTCTCATTAAAATAGGGCTTCAAAAGATACCACCAATTAACTTTATTTAAGTGGCTTAACGAATTCTAACCCTCTTTAAGGAGCTTAATAGTATAAGTATTGCCCTACACCGCGCCTAACAAACAAGGATACAAGACAGCATAATAGAGCCTACAGTAACTCAAAAAATTAACAAAACGTTTTATATTATTTACCCCAAAAAGACATAAAAAGTCGTTTTTCAATGACAATATGAGCTCAACGACATCACAATTTTAAAATAAATATAAATTAGATTCCCATGAACGACGAAAAATAAAACTTTCATAACATGTAGCTAGCATACATATTGACAAGACTCATAATAATAAAAACGTCCACAATTTTGATTTTTACGTCTTCACAAACAAGGTTTGATTTTCCGTTTTATCATGTCGTGGGAATCTTAGGTACGTATACAAGTTATCCAGCACAGGTCTTTCAGTTTCCTTTATTAGAAATATTAAATTCTTTCATATAATTTCTCTCGTCTAAACGTAGGATGTTCTACTATCCACGTCTATTCTTTTGACTGAAAGACGTGTGCGGACAATTTTATAATTTAGGAGACGGCACAAAGTCTAATATTAACTTCTAAACTTATTTTAACAGTGAATTAAGTTTTCCCGCGTTATAAAACATTTAAATTTTATTTAAAACCGATCTGTAGTTCCATCCGCAATCTTAATATTGTCTCTTTTATCATTCGGTTTATTTCCCAAAATGAAATGCCTTCAGACTGCCTAAGTAATATTGATTGGGCAGTAAAATGAATTATTCCATTACCTTAAGAGGAAATTCGAACAAAATGGACATATAATATTTTATTATTATTAATCATTTATTTCAGACTTAGAGTCCATAAACTGTTAGTAACAATGAACTTAACCTATTGTTAGTAATTTAATATAATATAAATAAACAAAACTAATTCTACTTTACAGTCGCGTGCAGTCTAATCCAATGGCCTAACATTGGACTATCCCATTTATCACACAATACGCTCAAGATGCTGTGTGAACTGCCACGCATTCTACTGAGGAGGGACGCGCAACGTTTGCGTATGATTGCATGGAACCCATCAACTCTGGCCTCTGCAAACATGGCTGATGCACTACAAAAACGTGGCAGTCCATTCAACATTCTGAACGCATTGTTGTATTGAACACGCAAGGCGCTGTATGCCCCCTTCGTATAGCCGACCCACAGAGCGCATGTGTAAAAGGACTGGCAAAAGGCTCTAAAGAGAGTAGTTTTGACGTCCCCTGTACACCGCGCAAATCTGCGGATCAGCATATTACATCGGACAGCCAACGCCCTGCGCTCACGTTCAATGTCCATGTTGTCATTGAGATCCTCGGTGACCCAGTGACCCAAGTACTTGAAATGAGATACTCTAGTCAATGGTGAATTAGAAATGGTAACTTGTGGCACATTCGAGTAACATTTGGTGCCCGCTTTAAAGACAAGTAGTTCACTCTTTTTAGCATTGTACCTGAGCCCATGAGCCGCCGCATAATCTTCACACTTTCTTAGGAGCCACCTGAGACCGCTGATTGACGGACACAGCAACACCATATCATCTGCGTAGCTTATATTATTGACACAAGTACCGTCAATGTGACACCCTACATGAGTGCCGCTGAGCTCATCAATCAGTCGATTGATGTACAAATTAAATAGGCGTGGTGAGGATATCCCCCCCTGTCTCACGCCACACTCTGGCCTATAGACATTTGATAGTGTTCCCGCCCATTTCACACTGTTTGTCTGATTGTTGTACCAATACATAAGCAACGAAATTACTGACCCGTCAACACTGCTCTCCTTTCTCAGCTTTTCCCAAAGTATGTCATATTGTACCAGGTCGAATGCCTTGGACAAATCAAGGAAGCACGCATTGACTGGTGTCTTCCTAGCTGTATAATATTGGACCGTCTGCTTGAGACAAAGAATCGCGGTTTCTGTTGACAGGCCGGGCCTAAAGCCGAATTGTGCATCATGAATTTTGATGTTATTCGCCATGTGTGTATCAAGCAGACAGTCCAACACCTTAGCTGTAATTGTAGCCAGCGAAATTGGCCTGTAATTAGAAGGGTCCGCAGTATCCCCAGTCCCATTTTTCACGACCGGCACAACAATCGTTTTTATAAGATCACTCGGCAGGTACGAGTGACTCATACAGAGTGTAAAAAACAGGGATAATACCCTGGGTAGGTGTACTCCAGCATGTCGCAGGTGCTCAACACTTAGGTGATCATGTCCTGGAGATTTACCTCTAACCATGTTTTTTATTACATTAGCAACCTCCCTTGTTGAAAACCTTACATTATTCTCCGAGGAGATATCCCCATTGTCGGGCACCGTTGACAGAACTGACGCCCCTGGCTTTGAAAGTGGCTCAACTTTAAAATGATCAACAAACATGTCTGCAATATCCTTAGAGTTACACAGTCCAGCCACACTCACTGGGAGACTCTGCTTGGGACTCATCTTACGGGTATTTTTCCAAAATTTTCCGAAATCCTTTGATTCATGACTTTTCGCTATTATATCTAATTTAATTTGGGATTGATTGTCACGACACCATTTCAATTTTGATTTAAAACAACTACGAGTTTCGCGCATTTTGCCATAGATATTTCCCGTAGTTGGCCTACCACATGAATTCCACATCAAAAACGCAAGCCGAGCCTCACAATGAGCGGTCTTTACATGTTTATTCCATCCTATCAATGGTTTATATTTTCGCTTCTGCATGGTAATAGCACTACGCTCAGCAGAGTCGGTAAGAATATAAATAACTTTTTTGTACATGTCATCTAAAATGGCCCTGTGTTGAGGGAGCTTACACATTTTATCAGCGCACTTAGAAAATTCTAATGGAAAATGTATTTCACGCAAACCTGAGTGACATAGATTCTGATACAATTTTATCTGGTTAATATCCCTTTCCCCCCATACAACAGTATTCGTGTATGCATCAAAATGTACAATGTTTGGTTCAACTAATTTAAGGTTACATTCCATTTGAATGGGTAAGTGATCAGACGAATAACAATCGTATAACACCTGCGCACTAATGATCGTACGCCGCGCGGTTTCTGTGACGACGCAGTGGTCGAGCCAGCGCTTGCACCCGTGAACTTCACTCACATACGTATACGCGTCATTTGGTAGCAGTTCGATATCCGCGCAAGCCCAACACTGTTCCTCACAGAATGTTACTAACTCCTTATAAAATAATTCATTTATATGAGCATTATAATCACCTAACATATATGCGCACTGAATATTACTACTTTCTATAATGGAATACATTTCGCTCAAACAGTTAGTAAATTCAATTAAGTTGTCACTAGAATTGGTTGGCATGTATACCGAGAATATAAGAATATCACGATCTAATAGTTTCACTTTGATTGCCACAAGACGTACATTATTACACTGAACAACACTCACCGACGTAAATAAACTTTTCCGCCAAAGCAAGGCCACTCCTCCGTAAGGCCTACCCTGAAGTAGTCCAGCTGAAGTGTCGATGGCTGAAGTTCCGGTATAGGCAAAATCATTGTGAATGCTTCCCAAGAAACCTAAATCATGTGGCATTAACCAAGTTTCTTGTAATGCAATCACGTCAGCTGATACACACAGCCGCCTAATACATCCCACCGACGATTTTACACCTCTGCAATTAAAACTGACAATTTTAACAGATCTATTCATTTTTAGTTGGTGTATTATTTTTATTCTGCGTCTCAACTGTGTCTTTTCTGTTTGTCCTAAAATGTATAAAACGGCGATAGGTAACTCCCTCTGGCCAAAAATCTTCATTCATAATAATATCTTCCTTTCGCTTAGGAATATAGATCTTATAGCTATGATAACCTATAGTCAGTTTCATGTTAATTTTTTCGACATTGACATGTAAATCAGTTTTTTCTTTTATATATGCAATTATATCTTCTTTTGATACTTCTTTGTCGACATTTGATATATAAATGGGTATTATAATATCTGCAGCTTTGAATTTTATATCTGACTTTAAAATAGCCTTGCCTTTATTTCCATGAAATATTTTCTTTTTCTGTACTAAAATCCATTCATCATTTTTATCACACGGCGGCGGCTGCGTTTTAGTTTTCAAAGCATTGACAAACGACTTGTGTTTTTTAATGTGTTCTGTGTTCGGGGCGACCGTATGTCTCATTCCTGTCGGTTGCTCTGACGTAGGCGCCGCCACAGTGGCCGGCAAGCGATGCGTCACCGCGCAGTCTTGCACGGTCGCCGTGTTTACACCTGCTACGGCGGTATCTGCAGTCTTACCGTTGGTTTGATTTTCTCGTCTACCCTCCGCCAAAGAAGAACTCAATAACGGACTATTTGGCATCGATAATACAGTATCATAACTGTTTGACTTTTCAAATGGGGAAATTACAAAGCCGCCTCTTTTAGTATTTACCTGGTTACCGTATTGATTATTCGTAATTGATGCTGCTTTAAGCAATTCCAATTCACTTCTTATACAATTCACTTGTTGTACAGTTGCATATTTCTCCTTTATTTGATTCATCTCATTTTGCATTCGAAGGAGGTCTTTAAGCAATCTGGTAACATCAACATGATCGAAAACTACAGGGGGAAGCTTATGTAGATCCCGCGCAACGAAAGTTGGTATCAGTTCAGGGTCCATTTCTTTTAGTAGACATATTATGTCGTCAATATCACATGCAGTTTTCTTTTTTCCTTTTCTTGTAATATTTCGCCTCGATGTAGGCAGAGAGTCAAATAGTAAACTCTTTGCCTGCGTTATATCATCTTCAGTAAAAGCACTCACACATATTCTACCAATACTTTCTTCGTCCATCACGTCTAGCTTGTTACAGACGAAAGACAGTACCTCGTTTATGACCACATTACAGTTGGAACATTTCAACACTTTCGATGACACTGTCGCCATCGTTTTACGTATCTACAATATGTATAGAGTTTATGAGCATCTTATAATTTAAGTATTTGTGCCATCTCCTAAATCATAAAGATGAAAGCGAGATATGATCATTTCATTTTCATACATTCATGCAAAGCGTCTAATAAGAAAAAATAATTATATAAACTAACAATTCGACTACATTTTATTATAATTATTATTCGTTTAGCACTCGACATTAAATTCGTTCCCGCTGCGCACTGAATTGACCTTTTCATTTGATTCTAAGGTCAAATATTGCTTTAGTACTTTTTGTATCGTTTGGCCTTTTTTAAACATTCCGAGACCATACAAGACACGCGTGTTACAAAAATGCCTCGATTTTCTTAATTATTTTTAACATAAAATAAATACTATAAAAATCACCTGGAATTACTCCAAGATATTTTAACCTATTTATTCGAAGGAATACATTTGATTAAAAAATAACTCATAAAAATTAACGTTTTGTATTTGACTAGTAGTCAATTACCGTACTCTTCCCGAGGCCTACCTTACTGCCTAACCGCTGAATCCAACCCCTCACACATCTTAGACCTTCGTCTTTTAGCACCAACTTACTACATACAAACACTCATAACTATTGGGTTTAATATTAGATATCGACTAGTGGTGGTGAGGTTACGCGACATACTGACTTTCATACAAGAAACCAGAAAAGGAATGATTGTCTAATCGATTAAACACAGATGATACGATTACTAAGTTCGTATATGAAAATCAGGAAGTTCGCTTGAACCTTTGATGTGAGATCAAGAGTATGTTAGTAAAGTGCCGCTATGCTAACTGTTACATTATCTAGATAGAACATTGGCACATAGTTACGTTAATACCATACCTTCTATAGGGCACTAATCCAACTAATCGTAGAGCAGATACTTGGAAGAGGCCAAACCTCTCATGTCCGTTTAACATTAACATTTAATTTATTAATTTTGATATTTTTCGTCCTTACTCTCATTACCTATCTAAACAATCAATTTAGAATTCGTTTTTAATCGTAATAAATAACATTAAAAACATGGATTACGCATACAAATTCAATAAACATCAATTAGGCCTGCATAACCAACGTAGAATAAAATTTAGACAGACACAGTGACGAAACTGCTAAAATACAATTTAAACGTTAAACGTAACATTAAAAGCGAACTTTGTAACAGAAAGCATCCCACACGACGAGACTTAAGTTCCATAATCATATTTTCCGTCGAAAGTAATGAAAAACTTCAACGATTTTATTACTCCTAAAGGTTCCACTAAAATTTTTAAGGTTCAACCCAAGATTGTAATGTCTCTTGAGATTTGTTAGACATGAGAGGTGGGGTATCAGTTCAGCGGGGCGGGGAGGCTGCGGCCAGTCGCTGGCGGAGTCTTGCGAACTTGCCGTGCACCAGCCGCAGCTGCGTGCGGAGCCTCGAGGACAGTTCCCTCTGCAAGGCCTGCACCTCCACCAGCTCGCGCCGCAGCTGCTGGTAGTCCGAGCGCACCTGTGTGTGGAGCCTAGTGTTACACCTGCCGGCCATGTGTAGGTCAGCTCCGGCTAACGCAAGCCAAGCGTCATTAAGGAGGATTGTATTTAACTTGAAGACATCTTTTTTAATATTATCAGTTGTGTTAAAATATTTAATTTATTTTATATTGTTAGTCGGAGTTGACTTACTATTTCAATATTATTGACACAGATAAAATATACTAATTAAACATCGATTTCATAATAGACAATAAATCAAAATAGTACTACATTTTATTAGATGTGTTATGAGAATAAACAATGCCAGTCCATAATACGTTATTTAATCTGTGTCAATACAACGTACAAGATGGAAAGAGAACAACTAATGACATGAATATGGTGACCCATATCTTGAAGTATCCGATGACTGCGTGAACAAGAAGTAACGAACAGTAGGTAAGAGGAGAGAAAATAAACATAATATAGAGAACGGAAGCGGGACAGTTGACAGAACATATAGTACATGAATATCATCTACCTATATTGTAACAAATATGAGGCGGTGCGTTGCGGTGAAGAGGGTCCATCGCACAATACCGACTAACTTTACTTTTGAAGGGACTGTTCAAGACAGTTTTGCTCAACAAAATCAGTTAGTTAATATTTATTGATAATAATATTACGGCGCCCCGCCTAGTAGGGGCCCCCGCCTAGTAGGGGCCCAAAACTCAAAAGGGCTGCAAATTAAAACTTTAACAAGGCAAACATGGGAAACTGGCCTCTTTACAGTAACGCACCGCCTAAACTAATCAGACGCATATCGAACTCGCGACACTCAAGTCCCGCAACGCATAGTTCAAGCCGTAAAGCGGCCCCGACTTCTGAGGCTTTGGGCCAGGCTTCGACTTCGTACCACAGCCAAGCCCGGACAGCTATATATCGATAAGCATGACCTTCTGGCTTGTCGGTTTTCGGAAATATGTTTACTTTTTTAAATATTGTTGCACTGAGGGCAATGGGGATAAATGGATTCAAAATAATTTTAACTTTGTTTTCTGCCCTCATGGATCTGCTAACTCCAGATCTTGAGAACTGATATTCCGCAAATAAGATTAAGAACCAACTCGCTCAAGGGCACCTACTTTTGTTTCTATCAAATCGTCCGGTGACATTATTCACATTACTTTAAACTTTTTACAGTTTGGTTATAGCTATAAAAAAGTAATTTTATTGCACTTCCACGATTTATTATTAACTAAATATATCCTCTTGGTCAATAGCATTAAAATCTATATTCGAATGTCACAAACTGCGTCTCAGTGCAACAAAGTATCGAAATATTTCAATTAATCTTTAATTAATTGACTATCAATCAATAACATAGATAATAGAAAAACAACAAGCCATAAGCAACATGACTGTATAATCCAGTAATCTGACCTGCCACGACACTAACGCATTGGCTGAAAAATAAATATTATATTTATACATACGATACATTATCTTCTACAATATATGTTGGACCGGCCGCTGCACTTTGTGGGCGTATACATAGATAATACATTTTAATATACGTACATACATTTTTGAAATGCAGGGAAGGAACGTTTATTTATTAGAGTAAGACAAGAAGGACTAAAACATTTCTAAGGAGGTACGACGACGACTTAAAAAAATTGTGGAAACCTCAATGAAATTTTCATCCACCTCAGCTAACTCCAGTGGGAAATAACAAATGTTATTTTACAACAAATTTTGCCTGTATACAACACACTTTGCAAGCAATAAGCAAGACGCTCAGCCCGGATTTAAGGCGGGCTTATTATCCTACAGAAGCTTAGGCTCAGTGTGGCCTAATTCCTAATTCACTGAGGCTTATGTCTACAGGTGAAAATTCCACCGTAGCCACGTAATTTACCACGTACACAGTAACACAGCACAACCAACCCTATTCCGTAGCAAGTAAAGATCAAAATCCAGAAAAGGCTTGGGCCCTCAATTTTGGGCTCAAGTTATGCAATTCCACTGTTTATGTTATAAGCAAAGTCGCGTAAATTCTCTTATGAAATGAGCGGGAACATTGTGAGGAACCGTAAGTCCGTAACTTAGGATTAGGGTCACATGTCACAAAATTATATTGGGCTATTCGTAAAATAACGTAGGTAACGCGTAAATGGCGTATCTAATCAAGATTTTAAAAGAACTTATCAAAAGTTGTCAAGACAAAAGTACTTTTCTATCGTATCATACGATTATTATCTGTTCACTTCATAAACATTGTTCTTTTCCTGCATCCCTTAAATAATCTACTGCGTTCATAAATATTAATTGTAGTATCTTAATTAGTCAAAGCATCTTAGACTTAAGACATGCGTAAATATCGGTGTGGTCACACTATCAGTAGTACCTAATGACTAACCTTCGTTAGTTACGAGACGACATAGGAATTTGGATGAGTCACTCCACACAAAAGGGAATATTTAAAGCATTCGAGATATAGTATTCACGACGTTCTAGAATTAGTTTCATAGGTATTTGTTAATTTTATTTTCCTAGTAATCAAGTTAAATAATTTAATTTCAAGGTGACGTGACTGTATTTTATTAGAAAAAACAATTAAGTAATGTGTTTCCTGTATAATAAATACACATAAATATATGTCTTTATGAATTATAGATTCCTAATGTGTATTATTATTTCTCTTAAGAATTAAACCAACATGTAGACTTATAGGTACTCATAAAAACACCGCCAAATTATAAATTACAAAAAAAAACAAAGTTCTAAACGGAATCAACACTTTTTTATTCTATTTTTTGTGTTAAAATAATATTTACACGAGACAAGACACTTAACGTAGAATATTCTTACAGAATAAATTATGTAAATGCTTAATTATTTACTGGCAACACGCCGTACTTGACTTGTTAGAGTAAACTTGCAAATTATGCTAATAATGCTTGCAAGAAGCGCGCAAATTAAATCAAGTGCTTCTGTTCTAGATTTTCCACTGAATTTACGAGTACAGCTACATTAATAATAAAATGTTTTTATTAAAAAATGTGCTATAGCAAGGGAGGGGATTAAGGTGTAAGAAAAATAGGCAGTATGAGTTAAATATGTATGTACCTTTCTTATAAAGCCTATATTAAATGTCTGATAGACATTTATCAGAATAATTTTTATGGAAATTTTAGAATTTGTATATTTTTATACCCACTTTCCCCATATTGAACTAAAAAGATTTTTGCCCACAGATAACATAAGACCTCTACACTATTCCTAGTCTATTCATTTTTTTTATTGTAATATATAGGCTTACACTATTTATTCTATGGAGATACTTAAAAAGTTCCGATCTCACCTCGGAGACAGACTTCAGCAGGTGCATAATACACATGTCCTGCGTATTAATGGGCTGCACCAGCTCCTTCTCGACATTGTCCATCTTCCACTCCATCAGGTCTAGCTGTTCATCTGTCCGCTTCACCTGTCATGCATGCATTTATATGTGTTTTCAACCGGTAAAGGTAACTTAATATGTTGATATATCGTAGGTACCAAAAATTTGTTTATACAAAAATAGTCTCTAAATATTAGAAATAAGGTTTATAATGGAGTTAGTGGAGAGTGGTCGCTAGTGACCGTTTGGGGACTGAACAGTTAAAGCTTGATATTTCTGTTAATTGTTTCTAGGTTTATTCAAAGTGGTATTACTTATTATTGTTAAGTTGTATTGTTATCTTTTTATAGTGGATTCTAATTGGAAACTATCTCATAAACAGAAAGTTTAAAACATTTGGTAATTAAGCAACATATAGGTATAGGTTTTTTAAAGGGACAAGCTTGCCACAACCTCCTAAAACTTCAGTAGTAGATACAATCATGAAAACACCGGAACACTGAAGTGTGGTGTATCCCAGGGACATGATTCTTGTCAATAGTCTTAGATCCCGCAACGAAATAAATTAGGTTTCTCAATTTGCTCATATTCTTTTTATAGTTATCTAATATTATACATCTGTGTAGATAGAGATGTGCTAACATTGTACATATCTGGCTAGCTCTAATACCAACATGACATGCAAAACAGACCATAAAACCATTTAAAAAACGAACCAATTGCTAAGCTTCCAATTATAGAAGCAATACAAATTAATCAAATAGGAATGTAGGACAAACCAATACCCAAGTAATTTTAGACTTAAACATGAATATATGAAAGCTTAAATTGGAATAATATTTTTTTAAATATAGATATTTACTGCTGTATGATATGACATCAATAGATACAACACAAAGTTTCTAACACAATAACAAGGCTGAATGTCTGATTGCCTCACACCTGCATGATGTGATAACAAAAGAAAATACAATAACTACTCATCCAGTACACTATTGCACTAACACACCCATTCCAAGATATAAAATAATATAAATTTTCTGACTGAACTTAAATGGTGAAAGTAATTAGACGAACTATACAGTAATGTCCCACTTTAAAATAAACGTCGGTTAAGACTTGTGCACACAGAATTATGTAAATATTTGATTAATTCCAATGAGGATGTGTAAACAAAATGTTTACAGTGAAATTGACAGGAAATAATGAAACACGAATTATTGCGTGGGTTTTTAACTACATTAGAGAAGAAGGTACAAACTTTATTCAGCCTTCCCGTTGTGTATCCCAAAAATGTAGTATTTATAGGGAAGATGCGGCTCTGTGACCTACATTTCCTTTACGATTAACAGTACTCTATTAGCCAATTAATTGCACTAAATAAAAGTGCTGACTCACCGTTTCCTCTAGTTCCTCCACCGAAATTTCCTTATCAGTCATGTTTGAGACACACCTATTAATTTTTTAGTCAATATCTAAAAGAAAACAACAGAGTTGAGCAAACCGACCATTTTTCTTCCGTAAAACTAAAATGACAGACTTGACATTTTATCGGATGAAAATGTCAAGTGTGAGGCAACAAAACGTTTGCAAACTAATGACATCCTGATTCGCATATTACTGAACGTCATGCGAAGGAACAAAACGAATTTTTACGCGGGAATGTTGAACAATTTTGCCAGCCAAATTAGTAGTAATTAGTAAGTTGTATTTATTGTTAATTATACTAGCAGTCTCAATGTAAGTACCCACTAAAATATCAAATAATAATTAATTAATAATAATTTTTACTTTTCAATACAAGAAGGCTATTGGTAGGTGGTTTCGCTAAAACTAAATCAAATCCAATCAAATCAAAAATGTTTATTTGCTAAAATACGGTACAAAAGGTGTTACAGTAAAAATTTTTTCCAGCGTATCCTGCCATATATGGCGTGCAAATTTATTATTAAACTGTCAAACACCAAGCGGTCACCGGTGACCGCAACCTATTGTTCTATAATTGTGTCTACAAAACCGGTACTCGACGAGTTAAACTATGTCAAAGGCTTTATATTAATCCTCCTGTAGTAGATACTATTTTTTTAAACGTATCTGAAATGCTGTGGTAATGTCATTGTACTAAGGAAGAGTCATTTATTTCATTGATTTATTTATTACCAAAGAGTATAATAGGATTTAGGAGAAGTCAATAGGATGAGTAATTCCTTCCCGAGACATTTGTATCTTTCATAAATATTATCATTTGAAAAACCTGATCAATATGCAGTAGCTATAGATATTTACCATTCGAAAGTACATGTGGATGTGGGCAAAGCAAGCTGTATGATAAGGGTAAATCTAGGTAAAAGGAGTAACAAAATAAAACAAACCAATTAATTTATATACACATTTTGTCTTTAATTTTTACACATTAAGAAATGTAGACGAGATTTAGTGACACTATGAACCATTTTGGTCATAAGACGTCCCGATATTACCCTTTATACAAACCTATGGTTGCATTAGCAACTACATTTTAAATTCATGTGTCGTAATAATATCGACTTAATTATACTAGACTAAGGAAGTATTGAAATCGAGAACCTTCCATCCTTTGCCTCATCAAGTCTTTATAGCCCTACCTAAGTGTCAATTTCAATACTAACTCAGCATTTCTAAGGTATATAAACACTTAGATCATTTAGTTTGACACTTCTAATTATTGGAACATTATCATTAAAAGCCATACAAATTAATTGAGAACAAAATAACAACTAGGTACAAATATCTTGAGTAATTTGATTTTTTGAAACATATATTTAATACTCAAAATTCAGTTCGAAACAATATAGAGGTTGCATGAGACTATGAAACTTGTAAAGAATAAGCCGCAGGCCATTCTGGCAAGGCACGTCTTGCGTCTGCGATGAGCGGGAAAAGTCCGCCGCTAGTCGCGCCAACATGGCGGCCCCGCCAGTGTGGCCTGCGACTAAGACTAATTGTTTATTACAATGAGAATCAAAACGGATCAGAATAAATTTATTTACCATAAGGAATGTAACTAAAGTGTACGTGCCAACCTCTATAATCCACCGAAATGAACTATGTACATTACAGACTAGCAATTCGATTATAATTTAAAATCACCATAAGAAACATCTGCCTACAATGAAAACACATTTTTTTCCGCGTCTACGTAAAGACGCATTATTTTTATATTTTGATAGACTGGTGGGAACATAGAATACATATTGCACGTGCATTCGATACAAATATAGTATGCTAATATCCGATAAACATACAATAATTAGTATTTTATATTAAGATTATGAATATGATACATCCTCGAATTGTCTGCGACATTCACATAGAAGAAATAAGTAATAGAATCTAACATTGAATAATTAAATAAAACACTAGAAATATTTGTACAAAAAATTAAAATTCCATTTAATTCGTATACAGAATATACCGAGATATTGACTTGGTCATGTTATTGAAATTAAAAAAAAAATATGAAGCGCTCAATCGGCTTGAGGTTCACGGTCATAATAATGTATGAGTAAAAATACGTAAAGTACTTAAAGTAAATCTTATGCACTCGTGCATGTAGATCATTCTCACTATACTTGTGTTGTGACGTCACCACGTACGCCGTGCGCGTGCGCAACACAATCTGTTTCTTATAGACATGTACCTACTCGGCATTAAGATCAAATTCGAATTTGCCACATGGACATTTATAGGGGGCAAGAACAAAAAAGCAATAAGTTAGCTTAGCCATAATGTTTACTAGGAACTCATTGCAAGCAGTGTGTCGCGCGTGACGTACGTGTGACGTCACCAGCACGCCTACACATGGCGCCGTCTCTAGACCAGCGCGTCCCCGGCGTGCCTAGACCGGTCTCTAATATCTGACGGACTGTGTGCCATACTACCCTCGCTCCACTAACAATTGACTTACGATATGTAATACTTCAACGTAACAATATTCTGAGGAGCTTCGTGATATGGGACCTTATTGTCATTATTAAATCAGCTTAAAATAGGATCATTAAATAAATAGTTTTGGTGTATCTTAGGCCTCTCATTACGAATGAAATCGTCTCGCGACAGCTCGTGTAAAATATGTTTAGGCCGTCCTTACTCGCTAAGTAATACGTATGATGACACACAGTCCTCGGGCGAGGGTCGCGGCAGGCGGGGAGGGAATTAATCAGTCGGAGTCCGCGGCCGGGGCCGGACGGGAGTAAATAAAACAAAGAGAGTCACAGGGGGGAGTTCAGTTGAGGGGGTCGGCGTGGTCGAAGTTGTGTTCGCTGACGGAGACCGCGTCGGAGGCGAGCGCCTCCTTGAGCGGGTCGACGCAGTTCTTGGGTATGAGCGTGCCGACGAGCTTGAGTCCGTCGCTGGCCTTGAGGCGCACGACCTGCATCTTGTTGAGGTGCGCGCGCGCCGCGAGGACGCCCTCCACGCGCGCCCACACGGCCAGCACGGAGCCCGCCAGCACGTGGTGCGTGCGCACGCGCAGCCCCACCTGCAACCACACACAAACACACTCGGGGAATCAGACTACTGAGATTCCAACTCTACTATTGCTGAGGGTACTTCACCCTCAGTTATGTAAATTTTCTATATGTAAAGTTGAAGAATCTTAATTTCAAAACCACTAGTATTTAGCAAGCCTAGCGAGCGTGTATGAGTAGTCATGTAAACACAGTAAAATGTATAAGTAGGTACCTCGCAGTCCGCTCCGTTCCTACACAGCGACCTCCAGTAGGCGTGCGAGCAGACTCGCTGCGACGCGGTGTACTGCGCGCGCCACCACGACTCCGCCTCACTGCTCTCCACGCGACGGTACTTCTTCTCTATCTCCGCCAGGGACTCCAGCTTCAGTTGGAGACCCGTGTTAGGCCTGTAAGTACGAACCATTCAATTATTTATTGTCTTATTTAAAACAAGATATTTAGTATTCATTGCATAATATGCACAAGGACAAAACGAAATAAAAAGCTACTTTTTAACATCTTTCGCTCCAAAACTGACCTATAGATTTGGAACATAATATCCTTCTTGGTAAGCTTCTCCTTCTTGACGGAAGTGACGGCGGCCACGCACAGTATGGCGGTGTACTTGTTGTTCCGCGCTTGTTGAGACACGTAGAACCCTTCCTTGGCACTCGAGAGTTCGGACCATTTCTCTAGTGCCTCTGCCCAATCCATGCCGCGCTGTAAGAAATAAGAATTTTTATTTTTGTATTTTGTGAAATAAAAACCAACTAATAAATTAATAATTACAGTGTTAAGTTTCAGCAATAGAATTGGTAACTGGTGAATGTTACGTGAGAATGGTAGAGTGCAAAGTGAATGTTAGGTAAGTGACAGATGCGTAAACTGTCACTTAACTAAACGTTATTCAGCACGAGAAAGCGCCTAAACTAACCCCTTATCTGTACTGCTAGATGTCACATACAGTTGGTGTAAACGAAAAGGATGTTAAGTATCATCTAAGTTTAGAATTTCCATTATACATTTATATACATTTACGAAAGGTTGGTGAAAATAGGCCTGAGTGAGGGTTGTAGAAACTAGTGTGGTGTAGTGTAGTCTGAGTGTGAGTGTAGAGCGCGGTACCTCGGAGTGCAGCGTGTGCAGCTCGACGGGCGCGCGGCCGGTGGCGTGGCGCCGCAGGTAGCGCAGGCAGCGCACGCGCCGGACTCGCTCGCCGCAACTGCCCAGGTCCAGGATGCCCAGGTCAAATCTGCCACTGCGCTTCGCTAAAAAGGAGATAAAAAAACAATGTCAATACTATTCTTTTCTGTCTAATTATTACTCTAAAGCAAGCCTTTTCGTTAATTCGTTAAATGTCCATATTATACCGCGTACCACTATCAGTACGGCGCGAGCGCATTAATCGTATGCACGCATTTACGCTTGACCAACTCGGTATCAGTGTTTCTCAACCTTTAGTCACATTAACTTTGTGAGGTAGTCATACCAAGAATCGGTCTCAGTCATGATGATGAAGTGTGTCCGTTGCAATATGGACTTCAATGATGGCGTACATTGCTCATCTTGCAAAAGGAGCTTGGACTTTGGCTGTGCCAATATCACTGAAGCTGTTACCAAAAAACTTTTGAATAGGACGAGATCTTTGGCGAAAGATTTTAAGCATGTCTGGGTTAAACATGGAAAGATTCATGTACGGAAGCAGGATGGGTCACCAGTCTTCGTCATCTCAAAAGAAAGGGATTTAAACAAACTATCGTAGTGTGCTGTGATTGTGAAATCTCTTTTTATCATACTATCCGTAATGCATGGTGTTATAGTGTTTATACTTCTAATCCTGGGTATATATTTTGCACACGCAATAATCACATAATATTTGATTTCAATTATGATTTTATTTGTTGTGAAAGGTTGAGCATCGGTGGCGCACCTGTGGTCATAATGTTTGTACCCTGTATTTGCGAATGTAGGTGCGTGTCCATTTCGCTTGCACATATAGGAAAAAATAATAATTGCTGCTATACTCTTCAGTTACCTGTTTGCGATTTAATATC